GTATTCCTATAGAATAGCTATGGTTAGTATCAGGGTTTTTGGAGAATACTCCCGCCCCAGTGCCTTCCGCAGTCTTAGACCCGTCTGTATACTAGGTTCGTTCCTGTCGTTGGGCATTGGGCCCCCTTATCGCTGCGATCGTTCATACTGGACGGTGATGGATTTTTTCCATACGGTCGATCTGAAAACAACCGTGTCAACGACTGAACTGTACGTCGCCGTCTATCAGTGGCCTTATATGCATCTTTATGCAGGCTTTCATAAATGACGCTTTTTAGCCGTCTGCCGTCCGTTATTGCGTGCCGTTTGGTTTCCATTTATCATAAATATTTTGGTTTACGTGTCAATATAATTATGAATCACAATATTATAAACTAGTAGTTTGACATATTGATTTTTTTTGTTTTTTGATTTTGTAGTTAATAAACTAGTAACGAAACAAACATAGAACTCTTTTACTTCAGTGTTACAACTATTATTAACATATGTTCAATGTAGTTTTTCATTTAATATTATGCCGCTGAATATTGTTTTTAGTCGGTTAGCTCATCATAGGATACAATGGACATCCGAAAGTAATTAAAAATTGTATTTTCGTCTGCACGTAAATCTTCCACTAAGCAAATGAATGGGCCCACTTCATCTCCTTTCTAATTAATTGGGAGCACCTAGTAAATACGATTATGTCGTTTCCGATACTTTTGTATATGACGGTACAAAAGCCACATGGCAATGTTGCGCTTTCGATTCATGTCGATAACCAACTGACATAAAATACTATAGTTAAAGACGGTTCACGGAAAAGAAAACCGTCGAGTGTGAATTCTACCAAGATACGGAAAAATTTCGTACGAATTTTCTCCGTACGAAGAAAACCGTTGTGTCTGAAAGAGCCCTAATATTTGCATTTACGCAGTTGTGTAGAGTTATATTAGGGATCGAATTTGAGCTATCTACATTGATATTTTGGTTGGTGGTAGATGTAGATGCAGATGCGATCTGCTGATGATTAGATGTATATGCAATATGCTGATGATTAGTAGATGCGATCTGCTGTTGATAACGAGATGATTCAATGGATTTCGATATTTTTGAAGCCGTGTCCATTTTATTTTTCATCGATTCGTCAACATAACCTTCGGCTACCGCTGTAGACTTCCACCCCCCATGCCTTTTCAACGCGGTCATATCCCCGCCCGCGTCGACTAATATAGTGGCAGCAGATCTGCGGAAACTGTGCCCAGAATATTTTCCTGGGTTGGGTAATTTCAAAAATTTAGCTATGTCTTTTCCCATTTGGGTAAATTTATTAATCCCAATTCTTTGAGAGGTGCACTTCCCATTCTGGAAGTTTAAAAAAAAGACATTTACATTTGAGGTAGCCCAACCAGGAGGACGAAGGTTTATGTATCGTTTGCAAATTTCATAGAAATGGTCGGTTACCGTAAATTTTCGTGTAATTTTTGTCTTTGTATTTGGTATAGTTATTAAAAAAGCTGAACCCAAATCTTGAATATCCCCAAGTTTCATGAGGTACATTTCGTTAGCTCGACAAGCACCCATTACTCCCATTATCAATGCTACCTAAAATATTTATTATTTGCACAAAAGTATTTAAACAATATGTACCTATATTTATTACCTTTGTCGCGAGATATTTGTCGTCTGATGCCTCCATAAGAAATTTTTTTATATTTTCCGGAGAAAAAGTATCAGCTTTTTTTGGTTTAAATCCTTTAGACTGTCTTTTCAACAGTGCTCTTAAATTACTATATCCTTCAATATTAATACCGTTATGTAAATTTATTGTGCTTCTCAGCATTGAATAGGTTGTCCATAACGTGGATGGTTTATATTTTTTTGATAGTTCATTAAAATAAACCAGACTGGTTCAGAGAACGATTCTGTTTTTTGGCAATTCTCCATTGCATAAAAGATTCAATCGCAGAGGTATAAAGTTTTTTAGATTTTTCAGGCAATAAATTTAAAGCCACCAATTTTGCCTCTTCTTCGATATTTTGAAACATTTTGAATTTTTGGGCTTTGAGTCATTTAAAAACATCAAAAGTATTGCCGCGCGCGATCAGTCGCGCGCGACATGTCGCGTGAGTGGGCTTTCCCTCAGACTGGTTCAGAGAACGATTCTGTTTTATTGGCAATTGTCCATTGCATAAAAGATTCATACGCAGAAGTATAAAGTTTTTTAGATTTTTCAGGCAATAAATTTAAAGCCACCAATTTTGCCTCTTCTTCGATATTTTGAAACATTTCAGCCGTATGCATAGTCGATCGCCAGCGACTCGCCACAAATTCATTTCGGCGTTTTGCCAGCGATTCGCTGGCAATCCGCCGACGAAAGCCCAAAAAGGTGGCGTCTCGCCGGAGATTGTCACCGGAATGTCATTTCACGCAAGTTTTTATTTTCTTTTATAGGGATTATCACCGATATCTCGCATTTTATTCATGATTCATTTCTTAAAACTCAAAAAATAATGAACAAATATCAAATTTTTCCCTATAAAAGAACATGAAAACTTGCGTGAAATGACATTCCGGTGACAATCTCCGGCGAGTCGCCAGCTTTTTGGGCTTTCGTCGGCGGATCGCCAGCGAATCGCTGGCGATATGCCGAAATGAATCTCTGGCGAGTCGCTGGCGATCGACTATGCATACGGCTGTTTGAATTTTTTCAAATTTCAAACATACAGAAATTACTAATTTCAAATTCAAATTGATGTGATTTGGCGGATTTGACGTTTCTCAGCCTTAAATATGATCTAAGCGTCGACGTGCGTTCACAACAAAACGTTCTTAGTACCCCCATACTACCACTTGTACACCTACGTAATATGTGTTGCCTATAATCTTATATACAGAATTATGGGTACGGATTGTGTGTATGTAAAATGTTGGAGCCTCGGTTCTCGTTTATTTCCAGGAAAACAGAAAATTTGAGTCATGCTTGGCAGTTTTGTTTGTAATTTTGGAGTACTAAATAATAAGTATTTAACAAAATAAAATTCAATTGGTAAGTTTGATGTTTGTTTGATCACGCATAGTAACGTTTTTGAGCTTAGGTTTATTTTGAGACATTTAAATTTCTTTTTATTAGATTATATAAATTTGGCACTATAATAATAGTATAACATTTTGTCCTAAAATATTTGCTGTCACATAAAAACAATAAAAACCTAAAATCAAAATACTGAACAAACAATAGGTACCTATAAAGAATATTTTCATATCAGTTTAGACATACGTGCTGTCGTAACGTCATGCCGTGACTAATGGATCATTATTCACTAGTGAATAATAGGTATTATTATTCTTAAGGAAGTAAAAGTATAATGAATGTTTTATAGAACAGTCGTGGACAAAAATATTTTATGACAAAATCGTTTTGGATACTGAGGTTGAATTGAGGTAAAGAAGTTTCTTGGCTACTAATTATTGTTTGTTTGAAATTAATTGATAGTAATTTATCAAACCATTTTTTCAACATTGTTAAATCCTTTTATGTGATTATTTTAAGATCATACCAGTTGTCATTTTTATAATATATAACAGTATCATCTGCAAAGTTAGTTATTTTCTCTTCATATTCCTGTAAAAATAATTTGTTTAAATGTATTATGAAAAGTAAATGCGCTATTTTTAAAACCTGTTGTCTTAAGAGCATGAAACACTTGAGTAGTCATTCCATTTCATTTGTGTGGCATTACTTCTGGTTTTATTCTGGTTTTATTAAATTCTGTATTAATAATGAATTAAGTAGTGAGCATAATCTTGGTGTATGGTCTGTACGGTGTAAAATTCGAAACACTTTCAATACCGTAATTACTACACTCCCGGACTAAACAATATGTAAAACACCTCTCTTTTTTAGTTTAAAATGTTTTACCAAGAAATATAATACAGTGTAGCATAAGAAATAATTTTTTAAGATGAAGAAAAGAGAAGTTCTTTGAATTGTATTGTTTTTTATTTTATTTTTAACAGACTTCAAAAAAGAAGGTTGTCAATTCGTCTTTGTTTGTTCAGCGATAATTCTTTACCACGTTATCCGATTTCTATGATTCTTTTTTGTTGGAAAGGGGATACCTCAGAGGTGGTCCCATATACATTTGGTCGAGATCTGATGATGGGATCTGTAATAAAGTCAACAAACTCAATTTGTAATGGCATCAGCACCATTTTGGAGTCGGTTTTTTAAAATGACTTTTATTTTTTATCTAGTTTCTTTTCTTCACTTTTAAAAATAACCCCATGGCTACCCTCGAAATCAATAATAAATAATCTGCTGAAAATTAAAACCGAATTTAAAAACAACTTAAAAAACATCCTGTATTCTTACAACATATCAAAAAATTCAGACCAATAGAGGAATTTAAACAGTGCGGATCGTCTAATTAATTAAAAAATATATAAATACTAAACTCAATTTTTCGGAAACTATATAAAACAAAATCCTACTCGTTAAAAAACAATGTTTATATTTCTACCAAAACAATTTTCTTCTATTTATAAACATGAAACACAATACATTATAAAATAAAAATGTGCATCAAAGTTCAAATAGGTATAAAGCTAGTGACTAATTATCTGTAACAACTGGCAAAAATATTGTTATTGTTACTTTTAAATTACCCCTTTAAACCAATTTAACTACAACGTATGGCTCTATAGCCTTTGTAGCTGTACTTTATAAATTTTACACCACGAGGTAAAATGTCTATATTTATTTTTTTTATATATAAAAGTGCTATTATTGTTAATTAAAAATATACGGATTTCGGGTAAAAAATAGGTATCATATATTTGTGCCAAACACAAAATCAATGGTACTATATAAGATACTCTTCTTTTTGAAATTATTTACAAAAATGCAAAGAAACAAAGAAATAAAAGAAAACATACTTTACAAGCAAAAAAGACCTCTTCTTCTATAAGACCATCTGGAGTTGCTGCCAAAAAAGGTTGTTCGATATCAACAAAAAGACCTTGTTATTTTTTCTAGTTGCTTTCTAGCTGCCGAATAAAATCTTTTGGGATAAAATATTGTCTCCAAAAGTGATTTACAGCTGGTTGTTGTTCTTTTCTTGCAAACAACCCCAAAGAGCGATAGTCTCTTTCTTCTCTCAATATACCGTAAATCCGAGGCATGCTGGCCTCTGGTTAATTCCTCTAGTTCATCTGCTTCCAGGTCAAAATACCCTATGTTAAATTTTTTAAAAAAAATTTGTCAAGTAATACAAATTTTTGTGGTCCAAAATTTACAATTTTTTTCCTAAAATACTCCAAGTCTCTTCGGTGATACTAGGAGCTTCTAAATATTTTTTTTATAACTTTTATACTCTATTGAACCGCTCTCCAACATATTTTGGTCATATTTCAAATAATATGGGCCCAGGAATGGTTTATCTGCACTCATGTCCTGGAGAGGTCTTCTTAAAAAAAAAAAAAATATTATCCAAATGGTCGACTAATTGTGACTTTTCATGTCGTGGAATACCTTAGAATGTCATGAAAAGAAAGAAAATGGCCTCTAAAAGTTTGTGCGGATTTTCCTTTAGAAGATAGATTTTCCCTTTCTCGCGCCTTTTTTTTGAGCACGTGCGAATTCTAATTTCTTTATTTTAACTCGAAAAATTCCGAAAAAAATCTATAGGGTAATTTGGGTCCATATCTCCTTCTACATGAACCCTGTCCGTTTTTTATGATAATTTTCGTCTTTTCCAGGTCAAAACACCCTATGCTGAATTTTTTAAAATTTTTTTGTCGAGTAATAAAAAATTTTGTGGTCCAAAATATTTTTTACCTAAAATACTCAAAGTCTCTTCGGTGACATTAGGACCTTCTAAATATTTTTTTACGTATACTGAATCACGTGATCAAAGATTTTTTACATCTCAGATGCATCCGATGTGGATTCTCAAACGCAGCAATTTTTGAGTTTGTAAACAAACAGCCCATAAAAAGTATTGGTGCTCTTTTAAGGAAAACATATTGTTGTTAATTTTTAGTGATTAGACACTTTTATTTCAATAGTTTTTAGCTTAAAGTAAAATGTATATTTTTATTTGGTAAGTACCTCCTATTAATTTTGTTTTTGAGTTACTTTAATTCATTTATGTTAATTTAAGATATTTGTGTTATCTTTTAATAAAATATTAATGTATTTATTCTATTTTTAGTGAGATGTCTGAAATATGGCTAAGTTTAATAGAACTTATGAAGTATATTTGTTTAGTTGAAAATTCCAGGGCTGTTATTAAAGAAGATGCTATTTTAAATGCAGGCCACTAGTTTTCATGTGGAAAGAATGAATTTAGTGATAAACATATATCTGTTTATGCAGTTATTCTCCAAACTAGTGCATTGAATTCAGATCCCCAAATTGTTGTAGGCCAGTTCTCATTCACAAGATGTTAGAAATTGGTGAATGGCAAAGTTCGTTTTAAGCTGGGAACAGTGGACAGTGCAAACATATTTCAGGAGTCCTAATAAAGTGTTCTAGGTGTAGGTATACTGTTTCAAAGAACTATCAAGCTAATTCGATTGAATACCTTATGATTTTGTTCTACACCCACATGTATATTATTTATTCTACGCACTGACTACAGAACGAAAAAGTAGGACATTGAACGAATATATTTATCCATTCTATGAAGAACACTGTACAGTTATGAAATCCACCAATCACACTTCATATTTGATCACAAGGATATGTTTTAGTTATTGAGATTAAATATAATTACAAATGATTATTGTGAAGAATTGATAAATAATGGCACTACACAAGATATTCTTTCATATTTTCAAATAAATCTAAAATCAGTTTATGATTATTAAAAAAAAAACATGTGTCCTTGCTAGGGAAGCAGAATATTTATGGCTTCACTTTTATGTTTGCATAAACTATTTGATAATTCAATGTTCCATAATTTTATTTAACAAGATGTTTTAAAACAGATACAGAATAATTGTCCTTTTAAAATCATCTATTAACACAAGTAGGTACTATTTTTTTTGTTTGTTAGTTTTGATATAAAATTTACTTAGTCATAATTTTAATTTGTACTAGTTTTTAGTCTTAATATTTTTATAATATATTATTTAATTCATGTTATTCTTTTACAAATGTATGACACTTCGCAAGTGTTCTTATTCTCACCTTTTTAATGCACTAATGTGTTTAATGTTTGGATATTGTGTGAATAAATTATATTATTATATTAATAACATAAGTAACTCATGTGATCTCTTCTTTAAGACATTAAATGAAAATGTACAGCTTGAAATTTATGATTGATTTTGTACTTGAGAGAATACTCTTTTTAATAATTATTTTTATTATTCTTAAGTTTACTAGTCATTGTCTACAGTTACATTTTGTAATAGTGATTGTACATTGATAATGTATTTTTCGGTATTTTTGTATATTTTTTATATTATTCTGTAATGGAATAGTTGAGTCTGTTGGTAAAAAGGCTATTATTATAAGCAATAAATATAACAATCAAATATTTTTTTATTTTTCCTGTTAACAAAATATGCCAATGTTTACATAATAATAAACGTTCTTTACAGTTACAATACCCAATAGGCCATCTTCTGAAGTACTTCAGCTAATTTCACTGTACTTTCTAGTACAGTATGTTAAAGTTATTAATGCCAGTGAATGAACAAAAGTATTTGTCAGATTTTAAAAGATCTGAAATTGTTTTAATTTTTGAGGTATGCACTTGTACACTAATGTCAAAACACTTGAAAAAGAGTATTTGCAACCTCTGTCTTGTTTGGTGTGAGTAGCTAGGCTCTCTTGAAACAAATCACTCTCAACTATGACTTGTTTATTCTCACTATCACATTTAACACTGATTGAACTTTTTTTAGTTTGGATCTTCTTTTTGTTCTATCAATATTTGATTTTGAGATTTATCGAACAGAATCGTCAAACATTTACTTAAAAACTGGTAGGAAGACACAGCGATTTTTTTAAATATTTATTTTCACTTTGGATGAGGCATCTAAAACACAAAAAATGTAAAATAAAAACTTTCAATCGAAAAATAAATCTATATTACCTCTAGGCAAATAATTTTATCTTCTTTAAAATGCTGTGCATGGGAACAAACTTTCAAATACTTTAATACTGGCTTCTCAATTTTCAACTTTTATAACCATGCATTTCTTGCAGAATTTCCACTTGCATTTTATAAAAATTACCCTACATTTACCAATTTTAGGAAGCAAACGAAATGTAAAAAGAAGGGTCCATTTTTGTTTAGGGCTGCATTGAGGCACACAAGTGTGTTTTTCACTGATATTCCACTTATAGTCCAACTAATATAATATTTTAATATTTATGATAAACATTTAAAGCATTAGCTTATTATTAAATAAGATATTTCAAACAAAATACTTGTTAAATTTAAAAATAACATTTATTGACATGACCTGATAAATAAAACTTGACAGAACACAGACGGTCAAGTGTCAAATGCCATAACTTTTAGTTCACAGTAGAGGGCGTATCGCTTATCTTCAGATCCCAATAGTATATTTCTTTATAAATGCGGCCAAAAGACTTTTTTACGCAGCGTCAGCCATTTTCTGCTCATCTCACAACCGCCAGACCGTCATCATCCGGTTTTTCAAAATCAACAATACAATACATCTGTAAAATACCAAATTCGGTTTAATATACTTTATTATTTTGTCACATTCTATTTTTCACCTTTTTCTAAAACATCTTATCAAATAAAGTACAATTTAAAAATGCACCATGTTCACAAGGTCGTCACGACTGTCACTCACGAGAATCATGAAGATGGAGGTAACAGGAAACAACAATGACAATTGACAATGACATTGCCAGAAATATACAAAAAAATAACGTAATTATGACGAATTCTAAGTGACGTCTATTCTATGTCATCAATGAGACGTCAAATACACGTTACTGATTAGCATATTGTATTTCGGATAAATTAATACTAAAAAATTACGTCATAATTACGAGTCTGTATTGACGTCTAATTAACGTTGCAAAAACAACGTCAAAGTAACGTCATTAATTGGGATAGTGACGTTTCTGACGAGTAAACCTAAAAAATCACGTCATAATGACAGCACCTTGCTGCTTGGGACAGGTATTTGCACGATCTATGCGGCCAAAATTATTTTTTTGCTTATTTGGTATCTAAACAACGTAAATAAATAAAATAAGTTATTTTTACAACAAATCTATATATTTTCTAAAAATAAATATATATATTTACAAAAACAAATTTTTGTTAAGTTTCTTGTCTTTCTTCGCCGCTCTCTGATGAACTTCCTGTTTCAATATGGGATTCTGCAGGTACAAACATGGCCAAGGTTTCAGACAAAAATGTTTTTGCTTTTCTTTTTTTTACATTTCGCATGGTACTTAGCACAGGATCTGAACTAAGCAGAAAGCGATTAAAAATGTCCTGATTACAACTTTCCCTGGAAAATTTCCTCGCAAAATCTTGTCGGTAACTTCTGAAATGTTTATTGCGAGTCTTAGCTGCTTCTTCCGAAAGCTGTCCGATTGGTAACAATGTCTTTTCAATAATGACTACACCATGCACTAAAATCTTGTGCATTGTTGGCGTCATAGGATGCCAATCATACAACTTAACATAAAGTCGAGCAGTTTCTGAAGCATATCTTTCATAATTTACCGGATCAATTTCAAATCCGCTTGAAATTGCTTCCAATATGACTTTTAGTCTATATATCAGTTCCTTAGATAAAAGAGACCAGAGATATAACATACACCGGTTTTAAACCTGCGCAAATGTTGCCAATTTCTAAAGAAGGGTTAACGGAGTGGGGGAACTGGGCGGCGACACGCGGCGACCCGAACTCTGTGACAGGGACCGGACTTTGTTTATTAGCATCTTAATGAACTATTAGGTTTATTTAAAAGGTGTTTAATCGAATTTTGTATTATGAAATCAAATTATCGTGATTTTTTAATATTAAACAGATGCCACGACATTTTATGTAAAGAGAAGACATTTTATAGAATATTTCGTTAGCGTTTATTTACTACGGACTTATATGCAAGAGATTACAGTAAAATGTTGAAATAGAATATATTGTTAATAGAGCAAAAAATGTTACTCATTGTCTACGAGTATTATAAAAATAGCATGTGCGCAGGCTAATACTGCAAATCTACCCTTATGAGTTGAACATTATATTTTTTCTACGGCTATTACATATTATTAAAAATTAGTCAAAATGAGAAAATGCTGTTTTGTATTGTAACCTCAGAAAAAGTATATTAAGGATTCTTTCTTTAAGAATAATAATTATTATAAAGGATGAGTCACACAACTTTAGAAATGCATATGTCTGAAACCAGATACCATTTTAAAATTTAAATCTATTAAAAGTTATTTGGTCGCTAGGGATGAGTGATTATCGAAATAAATTTTCGATAATTGAAAATAATCGATTATTTTCGATCAATAGAATATTTTCAAACAATATATTTTTTGTCATTTCCTTTAAAATCGACTACTTGATTATCTTTGAAAAATCAAAAATAATCGATTAATTAAAAAGCCAATTAACCGATAAATCAGTGTTTACAAAATATAATATAAATAGAATTATCGTTTATTTTAAATAATCGATTATTTTCAAATAAACCATTTTTTTTCGTCCATGGAAACAGATTATTCGATAATCTTTGAAAAATCGAAAATAATCGATTAATCAAAAATAACCAATTAATTAAAAAGTCGATTAACTGATAAATGGATTAAAAAAAACAGAATGATCGATTATTTTAAATAATTGATTATTTTCGATCAATCGATTATTATCAATAATCTATTTTTATTGTATTTCCTTTAAAATCGTTAATTCGATTATCTTTGAAATACCGAAAATAATCGATAATTCCAAAATAATCGCCTAATCGAAAATAATCAATTAATTAAGAAGCCTGTTCTATGATAAATCGATTATTACCAATAATCTATTTTATTGTATTTCAAAAATATTCGATTAATTAAAAAGTCGATTAACTGACAAATCGATTTTCAAAAAAAAGCAGAATGTTCGATTATTTTAAATAATCGATTATTTTCGATCAATCGATTATTATCAATAATCTATTTTTATTGTATTTCCTTTAAAATCGATTAATACCTTATCTCAAAAAAAAACGAAAATAATTTATTAAAAACAGCGGATAAATCGATTTTCATTAAAAAATATCAGAATTATCGATAAATCGATTATTTTTGTAACCCCTATCGGTCGCTTGCTTTTATCTGAGCATTTAGCTCCAAAATTTAGAGATTCGGATTTTTTGATCCAGTTATCTTTGAAATCGCATTCGCTTGTATAATAAATAAATATTGCTAAATTTTGGATTTTTTTTAGTAAACGAAAATTATGTTCGAGTTGTTTAGGGGTTTGTAATGTAACATTTTATTAACGTGACTAAGGGTCGATTCCACCGTTGTGTTAAACGAAGTTTAAAATGACATTTTTACATTAACACTGTCATTTTAATCTCCGTTTAACACAACGGTGGAATCGGACCTAACTCCTGTAACTTTAGTATTTTTTTTTTGCTTATACTACTAGATTACTTTGTTTTAAGACTGAAAATTCAATGTCACTTTCGATTTGACCGCAAATAAGATGAACCTTGAAATTTTAAGTAGGTCATCCTGTATTTCATCTAATATTCTTATAAAAATACCTTATAAAAATAAAATTTAGCTAGCAACTATGATTCTTTACCTCTTATTTATCTACCAAAAAGGGCTAAAAACTACCTTTAGAAAACATTCTTATAAAACTACTTTTTAAATACAAAATTTCGTTAGCAATAATGCCTATTTACTATTTATTTAAATTAAATGTTCAAAATTTTACCCTTTTGTAAATTTATGTAAGTAATATGAAATCTGAGTTTGTGATGCTTAATATTTATTGAAACCCCTTAATGCGGATCTGAAGTATTCAGCCCAGAGAATCATGGCGCTTTATGTCAAAACGTTAATAAATATTTACCGCTGAAAACGAATATATTCATAACAGTAGTACTTGTATTATAAGTACATACAATTTTTCAAGATACATCGTGACATTTTGAACTTGAAATTGAATAACTAGAACACTTTAAATTGCTAAAATACCAACAAATAAATCAAAAAACAGCTGTCAATGGTGATTAAACTCAGGTGGAGGTGTGATCGCTGAATGGAAATCGGAGCAATTCGGGTGGCGTCGTGCAACAAATTTTCAATTGGTGGGTTACTTTGGCTTAAAATAGACAACATGCGCAGTGTGCAATGTTACATCTTCGGTCTCTTTAATCTAAGATCAGTTCATAGCTAATGCCAGTTATTTCTGCAGCTAATGTGGCATTCTCAAAGAACCTTCTGCTAGTATTTCCATCATTTGTATTCCTGAAATTGGATTTAGACATATTAGTAAACCTGTTTCACTGCGGAACTTTGTTTGTATCTCTCTTTTGGTTTGATCTTCTAGGTTTTTCTCCTCTTTCGATTTTCTTTCCCTATATTTTTTCACTTTAAGTTTATATGCTAAGTGTAGGATGCATTCAAATAATCGAATTCTAGCGTGTAACACAGATATGCCGAATTCAAGGGCTGTAAAATTCACTTCTCCTTTGTAATCCAATTTATTAAAATCTTTCCAGGTTGCCCCACATATGTAGCTCCTACTCGTAGACTTTGTACCTGTAGCTGCATTGCAGACCTTTCCATCTACCATGGCCATGATAAATTTGTGCTTGATTAGCAACTTTTTCCCTCCTAGGTCGACCTCTGTTGGGACTAAAGAGGTAATAGCGCTTTTAACGTGTGTTATTTCCTCTTCAGTTACATAATTAGTTTCCTTGATAAAACGGAATCTTATTGGTCGACAAAATCGCGGCGAAGAGGGCGTTGGATTATTCCATAAAACGTTTCCATTTTTATCTTCAGAAACTAACTGAAAAGGCACAAAACAGCTTTGGAATATGCTTGAATCCGAATCAATGTTACTTTCTAGTTTTTGTTTGAACTGTGATTGTTGAGACCCATCGCAGCCCCATTTACTAATTATAATTAGGCAATCACGCTCTTTCTCCTTTAAAGTTATTAATACCTCTTCTAGGTACTCGGATAAACGCCTAACGGTAACATCTATTAGGGGCTGTAACTGAGCTTCGGCAGTGGTACTCGTTACCATTAACGATTATTGAGGTGGGTAACTATTCTTTTTGGCTTTTTGTAATACACTTTAGCATGGAAAAAACTTCTTATTGGTTTTTCTTATGATTTCGTACTGTCCTTGCGTCAAATCGGCATCTATAAACATTTGCAAAGCTTGCATTGGTGTCAAGGAGTACTCTTTACTTGATTTCGTAAGATAAGCCTTTTTATATTTAGTTGCTCGTGTCGGAGAACTGATGATATCTTTTAAGACATTTGATGCATCTTTTTTACCAGATTTTCGCAGCTGTACTTTCGCAGCATGTATTATGATCTTCTTTTCAAAATTAGAACGCAGTTCTTCAGTCTTTCGTCTTTTACTTCTCTCACTTCAAACGATTTGGATGGTCGACCTGGCCGTTTTTTGTGAAGCCCCAACGACAGGTCTTTCAAAAGTACCTTCCAGCCAAGATCGGTTGTATTTTATAAAATTATCTTCCTTATAATGAGCTTTGGTCCACCCTTGTTTAATTTCTGATTTGAAATGGACAAAACCACGTTTCAAATTAATAATTTGATCTTCATAACCTTCATATGACAAAAGTTGATCTTTTAGATAGTTTAATTTGGCATTTAAATTAGGCAAATTTTCTGTCTTCATGCGGTCATATAAGTATTGTCGGGTCACAACCCTTACTCCTGATGCATCCTCCAAACCTAAAACAAACATACACTATGTTAAAAGCAGCTAATAAACATTTCCAATTTTATACGAAATTTTGCTAAATATCTTTAATTAATGCCTCAACGCTGTATTTATCCGGACGTTTCCGGAGATGTTTTTGTTAGTATTTATAAGGAAAAGGATCATATAATAACCTATAATGATAACTATAGCTCGATCTACCCCGATACATAAACAAAAACACTAGAATAAAAAAATATTTAAGGAAATCACTGTATGAAAATGAGTTTTTTTTTGTTATAAAAAAATTATATTGTATAATGGATAATCATGACTTTATTAATGTAGTTTGGAAGTTTATTACCTTGTACTTCAGAATCCATCACTTTCAATTCGTAAGAAGAACTTAATAACATAAAAATTCACTTTAGAAGTTTAACGTTTAGAAAAGCACCGAGAACAGATACGTACACTAGGTAAAACGTTCAAATTCTGAATGACGCTAGGGTTGGGAGGTGCGAGATAGCAGGTAGATGGGCATGGGTATTGTTTCCGGATTCTTCCTTTGTTCGTGGAACTCGTTATTATGAATGTTATTGTTATTTTATTATTGGGATCGTGCAAATACCTGTATGTGCGTCGTAATATAATTAAAATTAAACACTTATAACGTAATGTAATTTCTACAATGGTAATTACAAAAAAATATAATTTTAATGAGAGGGATGTACTTGATGGATTGATAGCAAATTATCAAAATTTGGCTTGAGTTTTGTAAGGAATAACCGTAAATCTCCCCTTTCGGTGATATTCAATCTGCTCCTTTTTTTTATTAATAAATTTATAACGGCACTAAAACTTTTTTCGACGAGATATGACGAGGGAAACGCTATCAGAAGCTTTTGCACAATTCCCCACAGTCCAGGATATTTTTCGGGTATGTCTGCCAGCAGCCAACACTTTTGATATCCTCTTTTAAATGTCACTTTCAGCTCCTCATTAGTGCAAAGCTCGAGTAGCTCCTCTTGTAATATCACATTATCTACTTCCGTTTCATCAAATGGATTTATGATCCATGGTGGTATTTCCATCGACAGAATATCTTCAAATCTGAATTTAAAATCATCATGCATGGCAATCAAATGTTGAACGTATGTTTGAATATCTTCATCAAGGCATTCTACCTGCGACAAGTTTGAAAAGTGTGAAAATTCGCGCCGACCAATATTTTCAATTTCAATTTACCAAGAAAAGCTAAAAGTACACTCTTTGTTTTTATTAAATTGAGGCCGTCCCCTTGTAAGTTGAGGTAATTAAATTGTTTGAACAAATTGTTAAATACGCGATGTCTGCTTTAAAAGTTTTTATTTAAATCAGGATCTCTACTTTCCAAAAACTCTAAAACTGAGTCAGAAAGTAAATAAAATCTTTATAAACATGAATCTTTCGATAACCAGCGTACTTCGGTATGTAACAGCAATCGTTGGAAGTCTTCATCATTTTCATCGCACAATTGTGCAAATAAACGCGTATTCAATGCATTGCTTCGTATTTTCTTAACTGCATTAATCACAAATTGAAGCGATTGGTGCAATCTATCACTCAAATTTTTTGCTACTAGATGTTGTCGGTGGATAACACAGTGAATCGCAATTATCTCTGGTATAATTCTTTTAAGATGGCTTATAAACCCACGATATCGTTCGACCACAGCAGGAGCTCCATCTGTTGCCTTCGAAATAACGTTTGTGAATGGAATTGATTTTTCTTTAAAAAAATCTCTCAAAACATTAAATATTGATTCACCTTTAGTGTCCGTCTTCAAAGTTTTCGCGAATAGTAGCTTTTCATGAATTTCTTCGTCCATAACAAATCAAACATATGCCAATAATAATGCTTCATTGCCAGGTAAAGTTGACTCGTCTAGTTGAATAGAAAAATGAGTTGTTCGTAGATAATCACACAAGAAACTTTCAACATCAGAGTTCATTTCATCAATACGTCTTTGTACAGTGTTGTTACTCAGAGGAATTCTTTTGAGTATGTCAAATGAAGATTTGTGCAGAACAGTTTTTAAAACCTCTTCAACAGCAGGTAAAATTAACTCTTTTCCAATGGTGTGCGGTTTTCCAGATTTTGCGATAAGTAATGAGATATTGTAAAATGCCCGCAAGCCATCATCGTTGCTTTCAGACGTTAAAGAGAACATACTGTGCACAGTGGGTCTTTATATTGGTGAAGAATCACGTTCATGCAAGATTGCAAGCACATACACCACAAGTCGTATTAATTTGCACGTCTGAACAAGCGTTGCGGACGGGACGGCGGCCGGCGCGGCAACGACAAGTCTCGACGCGTTGTACTGAATATCGAATATGCAAGTTTTTACAAGTAACAGTCGCTGAGCTTCTTAAAATATTATCTGCCTATAAGAGAAGTCACGTCAACATTTTAGTTACTAAAATGTTGACTGTTTATGTTATAAATAGTTGAAGTTTTTTACAAGAATTTCTTTATCACATGGAAAAATGAGTAATCAATTGTTTAATAGTATATTGCTTCACTATCGAAACCAAATTAATTTTCATGCGCCCCCGCTTACGATTGTGGACCCCCATTTTTTATTACGCCCAACGTAGACCCCCGTCAAGTCTCCCGTGGACCCCTGGGGTCCACCTGGACTACTTTGGGAAATACTGGTTTAAAATTTTTCCCTATCTTTCGCTCGTTCGTTCACATTTGGTTGTACTGTACAAAGCAGATAGTGGATTTCTAATATACTGATTGTAACTAATTTTTTTTTAAGTTTTTTAAGTTAATAGTAAAGTCTGAAAAATAATGAAATAATAACAAATTGTGAAATTGAATTGTTACATCTGAAGTTGTATTAGTTTCTTGGGCAATAAAGCATTTAATTTTAATATTATCCTGTATTAAACTCACAATAACCCCGTATAGGATTTAATGAAATGTCGAGAATCCAATATGAGGCAACGAATTTAATTACGCGAAATAATATGGACGGACGAGTGTTTTTATGACTGACTGGCACACTCAGGAAGCCAATTCAGACAATGTCTCACAGAAGGAAACAAAGCAATTTTGAGTTCTCCGGCTGTTGCTCACACTGTTGGTTCTGTGTTGTGTGTGACATAAAGAGAACGAACTCTCGAAACGAGTTGAGTTACACATCTAACAATGTAACAAATATTATTTGTATGTTTATATGCTTTAAGTTTACGAACACCCCGTTAATCAGAAACAAAAAATAACTAGTTCATCTATTTAATTTCGGATCTTCCTAAGAAATAAAAATATTGGAGTATAGTCTACTGTATAACGACCCCTATACGTTTTCTATGGCTATAACATGTTGCTACCTACCAATTTTTAAATAGTTTTTATAATTTATGAAATTTAAATGACAGCTCTCTTCTAGATAATTATTTAATTACGAAAAAAAGAAACAGTCTGTCACCTACTGATATTATAATAACCTATTGACGAGGGGTGAACTACTTCCAAAATACTGGTAGGTTTTTACTCGAAATCACCGAAATAGCTACAAATTCTTTTGAAATATTCGAATTAATCAGAGAACTCATCATCATCATAACCTAAAATCATTTTCAAAATTATCATCGAAATCAAGTTTTCTCTTCGACGAAATATAAGCCCTGTAGGGCGATGTATAAAAAAAAACAAGTGAAGAGCAAAAGGTCATTTGAATATTTAAATGGAAAATTTATAGATAATTCATTGGAAATTAAACATGATGATTTCGGCGAAATCATATAGAACCATACGAATTTTTGGTGATTTCTTCCGAAATTTGGGTACATTTTGACCTCAATAGTTTACCTCTTGTCTATTGAGTTCTAAACTAGTTCGGCAAAAGAACCAAAACAAACCTATTGTCAAAAATTCTAATTAACAAAACTTTTAAAATGTTCTATATTAATATTAATTTGTCTACAATTGTGAGGACATTTACTTTTATTTCACATTTAGCAATTTTTGTCAATTTTAATTTAATAAAAGTAAAATCAGAAAAGAATTCCAATAGTTTATTTATTTGACTATTTAGTGAGTCATAGAAAAAATATACTGTGCAACTCTAATGGATTGTTTGGATCATATCCACTCTTGTTACACAAACTTCTATTTTGTGATGTCATCTAACCCGAGGTGGAAACCCACATCTAATTAAATTCATTCATAAATCTGATTTTTAAGTGTTTCAACATTAGCCATAAGCAATAAGGGTGAGGGCAGAGATACGAGGTAAGGGAATATGACCGCTGATATCAGAATGTACACATGGGCGTATGTTAAAAAGAAAATTGAAAAAA